GGTGTGTGTGACACACGCCCCTCTGAAGAAGCCCCGGCTATCGGGGGAAACGCGTCAGGACAGCGTGTGTTCTAGCTTCCCAGGACACCCATTATTGATTTCTGACACACGCCCCTCTGAAGAAGCATCCTTCTTATCATTCCAAGAAAAGGATTGTACAGTAAGTCAAAATTCCTATTTTCTTCACTTTCAACAAGCCATCTAGTGATAGAATGACCAGGGACCATCCAGACCAGAGCAACGGCCCTGTCTTTATGTGCATAACATTGGTTAGCAGAATCTAATGTCTCCTAAACTGTACTGGAAACATGATTGTGAATGTTAATGTGCTATTGACTTTAATTATAAAAGTTATTTTTCCATTATAGCTTCTCAAGAATGAAATTCGACGTCTGGAAAGGAATCAGGAAAGAGAAAAATCAGTGGCAAATTTAGAATACCTGAAAAATGTCTTGCTGCAATTCATTTTCCTCAAGGCTGGCAGTGAAAGGCAACGTCTCCTTCCTGTCATAGACACTATGCTGCAGCTTAGTCCAGATGAGAAAGGAAAGCTGTATGCCATAGCTCAAGGTAGGATAGATAAGGTTGAATACAAACCTTTGTTTTGTTTATTATCTTGTGGGGGTTTTTTTTTCTGGAGTACATAGTAAAATTATCCTGAGATCTTTCTTGTATTTGTCTCTCACAGGTGAGGAAGAGTCTGCGGCTCAGCCAGCCGGATGGGCTTCCTATCTCCACAGCTGGTCAGGGCTCCGGTAGTTCCCAGGAGAAAGATATTTGTACAAAAACATTCCAGATTTGCACTATAACATTGTAATGATTTTGTATGGTTTACTGAATTGTTGTTAAAACTGGAAACTCCCAGGTGTCTTTCCAAACTGAGGAATCAAAGAGTGCCTATTTAAAAGTGAATAATAAATTATAAGTACCTCTGCAAAGTTATTTTATTACAATAGCATACTGTGAGCTTTCCATTTGGTTAGTTATTGTTGCCTATTTTTTTTCATCACCAATTCGTACATTGCTTTTCAAGAAAAGTTTTCGTTTAAAATTTGCACATTGCTGCAGCATGTATGAAGGTGGCATGGCCATTTTTGTGAGATGTTATTATGCAAATGGTAATATAAACCAAAGAATGTACGTTCGCCATTAGCAGCCTTCTTTTGGCAGTTGATTGGCTTATTTTAAGTTAGTTGGTTTTAATAAAATAAGGCCTCGTCTTTGGATATTTCAGCTTGATCTCTGTTATGTGTATGAAAATGTTAATGCAGTTTTGAACATTTATAAAAGTTGCACAAAATAGTCGTTATGTTTTCCAACCGGAAGAGAGTTGTTGGCTTTTTTTCCTCTTTGTCTAATGTATATACTAAGAGAAGGTATTTAACTATATATAAATTCTTGTTTTTCCCAGTCTAAATGAAGATAATAGGAATGCCTATGATTCAAAGCTATGAACGTTTTCAGTCTAAAAGGTTTGAAACCTTTCCAATATAATAGGTTGATTGTTTAGATCAGTAGCAAAGTATATGTGAGAGGATGGGGAGAATGTACGTATTCTATTGGTTTGGCCCATTTATACATAATGGAGGGAATGGAAAGGAAATGAAGATCAGGTAGTCCAACCAACTAGGCTTAATATTGTAGAGGGTCAATACAAAACATTCTATATTATATGAATAACACCTATACATTGAAGTAAAGAGTGTGTACTGTCACTGATCTAGAAATACTGATTTACACAATGTCATTGGTTTAAGCATTTGTCAAGGAAAAAATAAAAAATGTTTTGTACATCTTTGCAATACCTGCACCTTTCCCTGTGTTTTATCCCTTTTAAACATGCTGCAAGACAAAAAATACCTGTTGATGTGCCAGAAATATAGTGTGTTCATAACTCCCTCTTTGGTATGATGCCAACAATGTATTTTTTGCTCCAAATTCCAAATCACGTGTTGTTATCTCTGCCTAATTCATTTTTCATGCATTACAATGAACACCGACTGCTCCCCCTTCCCAAAACTCCAAAACCCTACATGTGCACAGGCAGAGAGCAAAGGAAGTTATCAGCTCACAATATTTCTGGCAGAATCAAAAGGAATGTTTTGCACTGATCAAACAGTTATAACAAAATAAACTTTAAATGTTACAGTCTTGTGAAAAATGATGTGCTCCCTGTGGATATTGTTGAGGTTTTCAACCTATTTGAACTGGCAAACAATAGATCTTGATTCAAATAGTGTCTACAGATAAATGCATGCACTTTGACTCCAGCTGCTGCAAGCGTTACCTGTATACCCCCCCCCCCCCGATTAAATTTTGGGGGTTTTGGAGACTTTTTTTAGCATCAAATGATCAGCTCTTGGGTTGAATTTGCTGAGCTGGCCAGTCCTTGACAAATTAGCAGTTGTTGGAATTCTATGCCATTTGTAGATTATTTTCTTTACAGAGCTATGACTGATTTCAAATCCCTTGCCAAACTCGCAGGAATCCGCAACTTTCTTTCTGAGGGCCCTAGGGAGCTCTATTAGTCTTGGCACGGTGGCACAACACCAGTCAGTTGCAAAGAGGACAGCAGACCTAGATGTCTGAGGTTTAAATAAAACAGGTTCCACCTTCATAATCCCCAAGGAGGTTCTAATTATTGGCACATAATCTGGAACACCACATTCTTATTTCACTTACTTTTTTATATGACAAATCTGCATTTTTATCATAAAAATGAATATGCCTTAACAGTTTTATTTGTCATTTGTTCAAGTATATACACTTTATCAAGATTTAATGTTTGCAAATTTAAATATGTTAGAAAAGTCAACAATTTCCATGTGTGTACTTACTTTTCACATGACTGTATATTTAGCAGAGTGAAAGGGATGAAATAAGAGAAGTTTACAAACAGTATTTTTTTCTGTTCTTGTCTGTCAGACACTCCAACCAGTGTGTCATATGTATAGATTGTGTTAAAGCTGAACTCCAGGCATGATATATATATATATATATATATATATTATATTATACTGT